AAAGCGAAGTGTGTACCCCTGACAGGAAACCATAAGTTCCCTTTTCTCTTTGTATTATACAAGACAGGATATTCAGCATCAATTACACATTCTTTTTTAATTCAAATGAGCTTACTATTGCTCTGCTGCTAAAAATTACTTTTCATCCTCTATTGATCTTCTTAAACGTTGTCTTTATTATGACCCACTAACTGTTAACTGAAGCTTGAGATACTGTATTTCTTCCTCAACCGTGATGCCCTGGGCTGATGTGTTCATTTTGGGACCGGATTTGGGAATGTGAACTTTGCTCTGGTTGTTAATTCATTGTCTACAGAAATATTATGAGTTCAGTCGTCACAGGGTAATGGTTGAGGTTGAGAATGACTAAAACCGCTGTGAATCACTATACTTCCTCAAACAAATTTAACTGTATGCCATATGAGAAAGACATATCTTATTTACTATAAATATAATGTACTGTAATACTGTAAAGTAATATCATACACTGGGGACACAATATTGTAGGTACAATTTTCAGGATATTCTAATAATGTGTGAATGCCTTCAAATAGAGTCATGTAAGGCAAAATGCAGATGTCAGCAATCAAGTATCACGTTTAACCATCTAGAAATACAAAGCAAGCAATCAGTTTCGTTTCTTTGGGCAGCAGCTCCAGATTTGCCCTGATTTTCATTTATTTACTTTTATAAAATAAATAAATCAGAAGCAGGAATAATTAAATGAAAGATTGAGGTTGCTCACTAGAGTGAAAGGCAAGGATGGGTAATTTGTTGCACAATGTCAGTCCATTGAGCTGTCTCATTTCAGGCAAATACTTGCAGATAATCAAGAGCAACGACTCTAACAACATCTTCCTTGACGAATATGTGCCAAGTATGCACCAGATCCCCAAGCAACTGGCCATTTCATAGGAAAGATGAACTTTATTGGTTGAGGAAAATGTACCACCCAAAGTGTTTTATGATTGGTGGTCATGGAGAAAGGTTGGTATTTCTAATGGACATGGTTTATTGTGGCACACCTTTTCACATCTTTCAGCATAAACTTTCTTTGCAGCTCTCAAAATTCAAACACAAGACATCTCAGAGAAGGAGGGCACACAATTGACCATAAGAAAGTCTATTGAACATAAAAACTGCACAATCCTTGGCAGCCTTTTATTAACAACTTTGATATATAAAACATATTATATATATAAACAATTATCAGAACAAAAGTTGCAGATCTTTGAAGGCCACACCTTTGATTTGTTACTTGCGGCAGTACTACAACCTGTTAGGCCCCCAGCCGCAACACACCGCCTCGGGGACAACCACCAACTGACCGCATACACTCCAAAATTAGCTGAATAGAGGACCCATACCAAGACAGGTCCCCCAAACCTTAACCACCAGCACCTATTATTTGATGGCCTCCAAAGACCCCAACCGCATTACACCCGGACTAACACCAAAATTCCTTGGGCGGGCGGGCGGAAGGGAAGTTCACTTTACCTCAGAAATTCTCCAACTGCTGCAGAAAAGACCCTCCTCCTCATACCACCGTTCAAGCCCCACCTAACTTTTTTGACCTGTCCAATCAGGTAAGTGACCATGTCCCCAAGACCTAACCCCCGTTAACCCTTTAGCTTGTCACCCCTATACACCTTGTCATGTATGCCCTGCGCTTATTTACAGTATTTATTTTTTCGCTTCGGGCCTTACTTGATGGGTACTACCATAAGCTTGCAGACATTAGCATTGGAAAAACCTTTGCAATCTCAGGGTGCATAAAACAATGTGTGTGTTGGACGTGACTTAATGCAAGCGCGTTGGCATGTGGTACACTGCGTTTTTTGTTTTTTTTGCTTGATTGTTCTACTGAGTTATATAAGGTGTTGGTTTTGCCTTGTGTTGATGTGTGTTGTGTTGTGTTGCATTGTGCTGAGAAAATAAAAGTAGAGCCTGCTCTACTTTTTTTCAGTGCAGTGAAGCTCACATCAGGGCGTCCCGAGGCTGGGTGACAGCCGGAGTGGAGACCCGGTGACAACCCGCTGTGACATCATCGCGCATGCACGTGATGTTGCCATGCAGGATAACATCATCGTGCATGCGCGGTCATCTTCTTGATGCCTGCCGGCGGCCATCTTTCTGATGAACGCCGGCAGAGAGAGGAGGGGACGTTCACCCGGCGGGAAGAGGTATGCTGCCGGGTCCCCTCCTCTCTCCTGACACTGTCGGGCTCTCGGTCCGTGACCGGGTGCCCAACTTTTCACAGAGGGTGACACCAAAATGACTGTCAGTCATTTCGGTGTCACCCTTCCAATGCATTTTGGAGGGGCCGCACCCCCTTGTGACGCCACTGACTCACATCAATGCAAGGCACTGGTGTGAACTGCCCCTATTCACACCCAATCATTTTCAGATGTCCCAGTGAAAGTGATCCCCTCCAGCGCTGTGATGTCAGTGGCCTCTTCCCTCATCTGCGCTTCCATCTTTGTCTTGGTGTTCTTCTGGGTCCGGAGTCTTCAGCCGCTTGATTGGCCGGGCCACAATGACATAATGGGAGTTTTGTATGCGTAACTTAGTGTACAACAAAAAAACAATGCTGACAAGGGGTGTGCGGGGGGTGCGGCCTGGGTGACACCATTGGAGGGTGCGCCCCAGCAGCGGCGGAGGAAGCTGCGACCCCAGCACCTTCAGGATAGTGGCAAGAGATGGTGGGGGTGTGGGGTGCCCGGCAGTGAGGACAGAGCCGGGTGGGAGGCGAAAGTACAGCAACCTTCCAGGCACACTCTGGGGCAGCGCTGGGGTTCTGGTGGAGGAACGAGCAGCAGTCATTTGATTTCAGAGCCCACCACCTCTCCCTGCTGCACTGCAGGGAGAGGGAGAGCCCTGCTGCACCGCGAGGAAAGTCAAACAAGGTATGTGCCTTAAGTCACATTGTTTGTAGCCCTCTGTAACTGATGGATTTGTTCTGCATTTATGTATACAGTATTGCTGGAAGTTGTAGTCCTCTATAGCTGGTGCCTTTCTGGAGTGAAGCAGTCGCTTGAGTGGTAAGGTAAGTGGTTAAGCAGCCCTACGATGGGGGTGGGGAGGGAGAGCCTGCCCACCTGAGAGCCCACCCACAGCCCACCTGAGAGCCCCTACAGGCTTAGATGTGCTAGTGGATAGATGAGGGGCAGTTAGTGTTGAGGAAGTGCAATTAGTCTTAGTGTTGAGGGAGTGCGATTAGAATTAGTGAGAAGGGAGTGCGGTTTGGCGATAGTGATAAGGGAGTGCGGTTTAGCGATAGTGATAAGGGAGTGCACTTAGCATTAGTGATAAGGGAGTGCGCTTAGCATTAGTGATAAGGGAGTGCGCTTAGCCTTAGTGATAAGGGAGTGCGCTTAGCCTTAGTGATAAGGGAGTGCGATGAGTCTTAGTGATAAGGGTGTGTGCTTAGCGTTAGTGATAAGGGAGTGCGCTTAGCGCTAGTGATAAGGGAGTAGGGTTAGCGCTAGTGATAAGGGAGTGCGCTTAGCGCTAGTGATAAGGGAGTGCGCTTAGCACTAGTGATAAGGGAGTAGGGTTAGCGCTAGTGATAAAGGGGTAGGGTTAGCGCTAGTGATAAGGGAGTAGGGTTAGCGCTAGTGATAAGGGAGTGCGCTTAGCGCTAGTGATAAGGGAGTAGGGTTAGCACTAGTGATAAGGGAGTAGGGTTAGCGCTAGTGATAAAGGGGTAGGGTTAGCGCTAGTGATAAGGGAGTAGGGTTAGCGCTAGTGATAAGGGAGTAGGGTTAGCGCTAGTGATAAGGGAGTAGGGTTAGCACTAGTGATAAGGGAGTAGGGTTAGCGCTAGTGATAAGGGAGTGCGCTTAGCGCCAGTGATAAGGGAGTAGGGTTAGCGCTAGTAATAAGGGAGTAGGGTTAGCGCTTGTGATAAGGGAGTGTGCTTAGCGCTAGTGGTAAGGGAGTGCGCTTAGGGCCAGTGATAAGGGAGTAGGGTTAGCGCCAGTGATAAGGGAGTAGGGTTAGCGCCAGTGATAAGGGAGTAGGGTTAGCGCTAGTGATAAGGAAGTAGGGTTAGCGCTAGTGATAAGGGAGTAGGGCAGGGGCGTCCCGAGGCTGGGTGACACCCGGAGCGGTAACCGAGTGTCACCCTGCCGAGACGTCACTGTGCATGCGCGTGACATCACCACGCGCGTGCGCAATGACGTCATCGCGCATGCGCGGCAGTATACTGATAGGAGGGGACAGTCCCCCGGCGGGATAAGGTATGCCGCCGGGTCCCCTCCTCTCTCCTGATACTGTCGGGCGTTCGGTCCTTGACCGAGCGCCCGACTTTTCAGAGGGGAGTGACACCAAAATGACTGTGTCATTTTGGTGTCACCTCTCCAATGGTGTCACCTGGGTGACACCACTGGAGTAGGGTTAGCGCTAGTGATAAGGGAGTAGGTTTAGCGCTAGTGATAAGGGAGTGCGGTTAGTGAAAGGGGAGTGCAGTTGGGGAGGGGGGTGCAGGTCTAAAGCTTTGTAAGGGGCCCCAAAGTTTCTGATGGCAGCCCTGTTTCCATTTCTAAGTAAACTATGACTTTTAGGTGGACTGATCAGCACCAATTTGATGTGAATAATAAAGAAAAGTTCCCAGCTCCCCCTGTACATGCAGCTGGCAGGGTCTGTCGTACAGGACTCGTCATGTCTTGTGGCAGTGTGTGTGAGAAGAATGTAGAGTGAACTTGGTCTAGAATGTGTCTTCCTCTGCACTCGGTGTACGGTCTCAGCTCCTCCTCCAGCCCCTGTTTGCACCGAGCCGCCTTGTTGTAGTATTGAGGGCAGCGCAATGTGCGGTCACAGATAAGCTGTGCTGTGGCCCCGGACCTCCTTCTTACTGTGGACTTGTCCCGCTTTGTAAGTCTCTGCTCAGCCCTCCCATGTAAGACAAGTGAGGAGACAACACCCTTCGAGTTTGTCATCGCAGATTGCAGCGGAGCATTCAGATCCTGCCCTGCCCTCTCTGCAGCCTGGAGCTGGCCTTTTTCTGTGCTGCCGGATAACTTTCCACTAACAACATGGCTTTTACCAACGATCAGACCGCACTGGAGCTTGACGAAGTGTCAGAAGATGGGGAGATGATAGGTGAGCTCTCACCATGTGACACACGTTTACTTCTCATACCTTGCTTGGGTCTTCACAAACTTTCACTCACTCGCAGCCTTGCCCACTGATTAGGGTGATATGGAGGGAGTAACCAAAATCTGGTTTAGGAGATGAAGAGGGTGCTGTAGTTATTTTGAAGAAGTGCTTTCATGTTTGCTGATTTCATTTTTAGCTAAGTACTTTAAGGTCAGAGCCAAGCATGCTCCGACCCGCAGAGCCAAGTATGCTGCGGATCCTGAGGGCCCATTCACAACATGTCCGGATCAGATGCGGTACGTTACACATTCTGCACAAAAAAATGCATCCCGCTGCATTTGTATGTGATTTTTGGGCTCTGTTCACACCAGTGCAGGGAAAAAAATGCTGCATGTTAAATGTTTACCTCCACTGGAGTGCACCGGAAAGCAACAGAAGCTATGAAATGGAGCAGGAAGAGATGAATTTGCATAATGACATTACCCCCCCCCCCCCCCAAAAAAAAATGCACTGGAATGTGTCACAAACACACCGCGTTTGCACAAACGCATGCAGATCTGGTTCGGACATGGTGTGACAGGGTCCTCAGAGCCAAGTATACAGAGCCCTGTATTCTCCAAATCTTCAGAGCCAATTATGCTCCAGATCCCCAGAGCCAAGTATGCTCCGGAGCTCAGTATTCTCCGAATCCTCGGGGCCAATCATGTTGCAGATCCTCGGAGCCAAGTATGCTGCAGATCCCTGGAGCTAAATATGCTGCAGGTCCCCAGAGCCGTTTTTCCTTGGATTCTTGGAGCCCAGTATGCTCCGGAACCTCGGTGACCAGTATGCTCCGGATCCCTGGAGCCAAATATGCTGTAGATCCTCAGAGCAGTTTTTCCTTGGATTCTTGGGGCCAAGTGTGCTCCAGATCCCCAGAGCCAAGTATGCTCAATACCCCCAGAGCCAAGTATGTGCCCGATTCCCAATGTTCCAAGGTGTCCTCCGATTAGCTGCAGCCAGTTTGTGTGTGGCCAGTACCGTCCCAATACCATTTCTGGATGCATACTGTCTGCATCCAGGGCTGGTCACAGGCTCTATTAGTATGTAACCTCTCAGATGAGCAGTTCTATGCGAACAGCGGCCATTGATTTTGTACAGGGAACAGATCTAACAGCTGCTGGCCACGTCTGTTTACCAACACTGTGAGCATGCTGTGTATAGTAGTAATTCATGCTATTAGTGCCTCCGTTGCATGTAGTCTTGGTTCTGTTGCAGCACTAAAGCCACTGCAAAAATATTCAGTATTTGGGACTTCCAGGTAGGTTTGATTCCCATGTAGAGTTGTCACCTGTCCCGGATTCACCTGAACAGTCTGGGTTTTGAGTCCTGTATATGCTGTTGCCGGATTTCAGGCTAGCTGAAACCTAAACACAGCACATACAGGACTCAAAACTGTATAGTAAACAGGTGAATCCAGGACAGGTGGCAACCCTATTCCCACGTCTTCCCAGTATCTGCTGTGGTTCCACCCTTGGCCTCTACATTACTAGCATACCTCTTCAGACCTGCTGGGACTCACGAGTGATGTAGCAACCAGTGGGGGAAGCACAGGGGTGAGATGTAGGCATCCAACACACTCAGAAGTGTCACATATTGAAGATCCTAAAGATCTTAAACATGCATTCCCTTAGCTATTAACAAAAATGTATCCTATTTGTGTATCACTCGGCTGTAGATCCTCAAATAATTTCTGAATTCACGCTGACACTGTCCCTTCTTCTGGAGGGTGGCTACTTTTGTTCCTCATGGCCCCAAGCTTGCTCCCATGATGGACTACAATCTCATGTTTAGTTTACTAATTTGTATCAAGATTGTAGTCCATCACAGGAGCGGTGGCTACTTTACAACACACACAGGGACCATGGGGAACAAAAGTAGCCACCCTCCAGAAGGAAGGACAGTGAGGAAGAACAGAAATTATTTTGTTAATAGTTAAAGGAGAATTATGAGGTGAGTGATTTTCACTCAGCCTCATAATCTGAGCCGACCTGTGACAATGAGACTGTCACAGGTCGGCTCAGTAGATCGGGAAGTGAGTGAACACATACCGGCGCCCGCTCACTTCTCGATCTATCTGTGCAGAGAGCCGTGACTGTCACTCACGGCACCCTGTAGGGATTCCCCCAACCCTCCCCTGTCCGATCCTCCAGCGCTGATTGGCGGAACGGACGGGGAGGGGGCGGGTACAGCTGGCTCTGCCTCTAGATAGGTAGAGCCAGCTGTCACTCACGCAGCTGGGTGGATCCAGACAGAATTGTCAGGATCAGTTCCGGCTGTGGCGTTTCCGTATACCGCGAGCTGTAGCTCGCGGTATTCTGAACTTTGGGTGACGGGAGGACGCTAGTTTGTGTCCTCCCGTTACCCTTAGGAGAACTATGGGGAAAAGCCCTAACCCCATAGTTCTCCTTTTAAGGTACCTGAACTTATTTTTAAGATTGAACTCCTGAGTTTAGTGTCACTTTAAAGTGAAAAAAAAGAGTTAACCATGCCTTGCATTGTAACAATACAAGGAACTGCGTTCCAGTCAGCGGAACGCATAAAGGTAAGTTTGAATTGGAGTCCTTTCACCCCCACCTGGGATGGCCGGCATCATTATCCTGGGAGCCTACCTGCTATCTTTTCAATCACAGCTGTTATCTAGCTTTATTTTTTACACTTTATTTTTATTCTTTATTTTTTATTCTTATTCTTCAACTACACTTGGCCCCCTATACAATCTGTGTGGTGATTTAGATCTCCTTTTTTCTGTCTTTAATAGAAACGAGACGTACGCTATGGCTATCTCAACTTCTAAAAAAGTGTAAATGTCCAAAGGATTGGCTGAGGCTCCACGGACGGCGCGGTGACGTCATAATGACGTACGTCACCGCGCCGGATGCCGTTATAGCACCCACGTGAGCCACCAACGCCAGTATGCGGCCTCGAGGCGGCGGTCCCGGTAGTTGGTGGCGTGGAGGCGTCTGGCAATCTCCCTTTTTGTGGGAGCTAAGACGGGACGGCGTTCTACCCTTTCCGGTGACAAACTCAGTGAGCGGGACACATTTATCCGAGGTATGCCGATTGATCATAAATAGATAGGAGTGATACCTCCTTTCCCCATTACATATGAAGAGCATGACCTATATGCCTCGGTGACATTGTTATGCCCCCCCCCTGTCCGTCTCTTGTAGACCTTTACCACGCCGTTTGCCTTTCGCCCCCTGCTCAAAACCTGGGTCACCTGATTCTCACCTTTCCTTGGCCCACTGGGAAGGACTATATGGGATTTATTGTATTTAGTTACAAAATGAAACATCATCTAATTAAAAGAATTAGAGAGCTGTCCTTTGCATCTAGGCAGGCTCCTGAGAACGCATTCTGTGAGTCACATTCTAAAAGTTCTTTTTGAAGTTACCTACTGGAAATTGCCATGAATGGATATATATGAAGGCATGGACCACACGTATTTGTGTATGATTTTTTTTAGGATTTTCTTTAAGTAATTCAGAGGCTAAGCCCAACCAAAACATGTTTCCACCCAATACTGGTGATTAAAGCAAATCTGGTGCATGATTTCACAGTAAAAACAGATCCTTTGTCAGGAACATTGTACCAGCCACCAGATTCATGCACATACGTATAAGGGTGCCCATACACTGCACGATTCTCGTACGAGAATCGCGGGAAATCCCGCGATCGTACGAGAATCGTGCAGTGTATGGAAGGCGTGCAACCGTTTCTACTGTACGGTCGCACGTCTTTCGTCGAACCACCAGGCTTGAAAACTCACCGGGAATCGTACGATTCTCGGCGAGTTAGTGGCCTGCTGGTTCAACAACTGCCGAACGGGCCGGTGTGCGCACAAGCTCACAGCCCGTTTGCAGTCATCGTAAGCCCGCCCCTCATTGCAGTCATCGTAAGCCCGCCCCTCAGGGGGGCAGGCTTGCGATGATCGCAAGTACGATCGGCCTGTCCAAGATGGTCAGATCGTACGTTTTTTAAAGTACTTTACAACCCTCGCAAGACAAAAGTCTTGCGAGGGTT